CTCGAATGGCAACATTTACGAATCTGATCTTACGGTTTTGAATGTCTGTAGTAGCAAAAAAGTTTCTCATTTGTTAGAACGTGTTAAACTATAGCGTCTAAATTTTCGATCTTTTGTATTTAAACACACTAAAAATAATCACGTTCGTTTCTTTTAGGTCCGTAGGCAAAACCAAAATGAATGAACTATCATCAAGAAGTCATTTTGTTTTCACTCTACTACTACAGACATCGAAAACGTAAGATCATATACGTAAATGTTGCCATTCGAGTCGTGCTTGATGAAATGTTTGCTTTTTAGGGCACTTTCTGATGTTTGAGATGGTTTTAAAAGGTCTCGTATTGTTTCGTTGTAAATTTCAAACATCGAGATCTGTAAAGAAAAAAAACATAACAATTACTGATTTTGAAAAGAAAGAAAAAAAAACGACATTCAGTCCACACCTGCATTTTGTACTTCCATTTTTGGCTTTCAAGAATTTGCTTCGACTCAAATATCATCTCCACAGATCGAGGAATCAAGCCTTTCTGATCTGGTGGTTCTGGCTTGCCCATCATTGTAAATGTCTTACCAGACCCTGTTTGTCCATACGCGAAGACACAAACCTATATATTCAAGTGCAGTAGGATAAATAAGTATTTTTTTGTTTATTCCCGACTACTTATAAGAAAATTTATTTCCAGACTACTTATAATAGACCATACTTAAGAAACACTTAAGTGTATTAGCACTAATGTCCTCATCAAATTTCCAATATTAATTTGCGAAATAACTATTCATCCGATCATCTCTAGCAACAAATATTGAAAGAAAATATATTAATATGCTGACCACTTGTACATCTTCGATATAAGATCTCCAATAACAAATATTGCATATTAATGTCATCGGCCATGATAATAAGAGTTTTCACATGGGATTCTTTACGGTCATGAACCACAATGGAATTTTGTGGCAAGAATATTAAAGGCCTCTAAACTTAAAGAACAAATAAGTTTGAGTCGAGAGGAAAAAAAGAGGACCTTGTGGCCATCCAGAGCACTCTGAACAAGCTGTGAGATCTCCACAAATACATCTTCTTGAGAGTCATCGGGCTTAAACACTTTGTCGTAAGTGAAAGGGTGCTTTTGTCCTTTACGAAAAAGAAAAAAAAAACTAATCAATTGGGAGAAACTATCAATATAAAAGACTTGGTAGTATCTTCAGAACATATGTGTTTTACACTTTATGCAAAAAGAAATCACCATTTTTTGTGACATCAATTCCTCGGCCCAGCCTTCCCATTGATGTTGGAAATGAAACAACTTTAGCATCATTTCCATCTCCATCATCAGACAACAACGGTCTCACTCTACAAAATACACGGATATTGCCTTTCAACTCCTGAAATGATAAGATTTTTTGTTAATAAACAATAGTTTAACTAAAGAAGGATTGGAACTGAACTTTAAATCAGATGTATTTAATTACAAAACTAGTACCATGATGGTGTTATGTAATTTTTTGCAAAGCTTCTCTCCTTCTACAATTTTAGAATCTGCATCCCTTAGACGATTCTTTAACTCAAGAATCATTGCATTTTGCTCCTCAAATTCAGATCTTGTTGTCGTTACTGATATATCGGACAGCTAAAAAGAGAGAGAAAAAAAAAAGTGAAGAAAAAAACTTGCACTAAATTGAATAATAGTAATGATATTTCCTCTAAACAGAAAATAAACCTTTAATTTATGTTCTGCCAAAGCAAGCTTCTCCAGCAATTGCGTTATTTCCAAGCATGTTGACAGACAAAGAAATGGATGATGCTGAAATAACAATTTTAATATATTTTTATATAAAAACATGAATTTGAGAAACAAACCTCCCGTTCATTTGTTCCAATCATTTCCTTGTATTTTTCTACTTCAGCTGACAAAGTCTTGACTTGTAAAATGTGCCTGTCGCGGTCAGCTCGTACATGTAATAGATCGCTTTCAATCTGCTGGATCATCTCACCTTGTGTATTCTTTTAAGATCATAGATGAATAAGTCATAGATGGTAAACAATAGAGCAAGCAGAAATGACTGACATTTCTATGAATTTGATTCGATATAAGTGCTAATATTCAATAGAATCTCAAGTAACAACTCGTCAAATCACGTATTCGACATGCCTAGGTGACTATTGGAGAGCATGACTAACTACAAATTCAAAACAAGCTCCCACTAAAATAGAACTAACAGAAATCCAAAAAGCAGGCTGTTATACCAATTAAAATTAAAATTGAAATTCCAGTTTATTGGACAGTTTAGTTCTTCAAAGTGAAATAAAACAGAACTAACAGAAATCAAAAAACAGCAGGCTCATACCAATTCATCCACTTCCTCCTTTGCAAACTTTTCTTGCAGTGCCTCCAACTTTTTACCCATATCATTGCATGTCTTTTCCTGCACGTCTAACAAATTCTTTGGTTTTCTCCTGCTCTGAAACAAGATTTCCTTCACGCTGTTGAAACCACTTAATACATTGCTTAAGATTTTTTACGTATTCCTCCACTACTACAACTTTTTCCTGCAAAAACATCAAACATCCCAATATTCAAAAAAAAAAAAAAAAAAAAAAAAAAGAAGAAGAGGTAATCTTCTGCGACATCCGAAATTGAACTCATTTCAACTGCAGGTAAAACTCTCCAATTTCAACATACCATAAAGCAATGCGTATCCTTAACTCTCAACTTCTCATTGAGTAATGCGTCGATATGCTCTCTACTGAATTCAACTGTGCTATCTGAGTGGCTTGTTGGTGCACTAGTGGGGAAGAGATTTTGGTGCCGTGTTTGCATCGTTGTCCCACTTTCCGGAGCAGAAACCTCATCTACGCTGTACTTGCTCTGTAAAAACCAGCAACCACCAAAAACAAAAAAAAAAAAATCAGAAACCGAGTAGCTGTAGAAGTAGTAGTAGTCTGAAAGAAGAATGTATTTACCTGCAAACAAGGAGATTTCGCACCAAGATATAACCTACAACTAGCTACTCCACACAAACACTGGATATCCGTTGTGCGATACAATCCAAACCAGTAGTCATATGTGAGTTCCGTTCCGACCTCAATATCCTCATCGGCAAAGATACCAACTCTCGTCTCACCCAAGACAGTCCATTTTTTGATTTTGCAGTTTGGCTCACTGCATAAATATTGAAATATCAATTTTAAATACATAATAAATAAAAATGAGTACGAGAAAATACTAGGGCTTCTCTAGCACATTACCAGGAGTGGTTTATGAATCTGGCAACGGTTCCTTTTCTGGAAGGATCAATATAATAATGTGAATCAAACAAAATCACATATTCAATTAGAACCTGCATGACCCAATGGATAGGGTTCAATTTATTTTCAATAAATAAAAACTGATATTTTGTACATTTTGTTATCTAACCTGAATCCTTGTAGATTTTGGATCTTTCTTTTGCCATTTTGGATGGTATAACTTCTCCGCAGAACTCGACGATGAACTCGCCAGCCTGTGAAGCAATAAAAAGTCAATCATTTGTAACACTTACCCGCTCAACAATTATTTTGTATTTTAAATTTTAAAATATAATAATAATTTTAACATATTTCCACATTCATTGGATGGAATAATTGAAAAATAGTTTATAAAAAAATATCAATTGAAAATCCAATGCAAAAATTATAAAATTTGATATTTATTTGGTCGAATAAATAACATAAACAATCTAATAATTATTGGATCGTATAAAATTGAAAAGTAACTAAAATTATTTTTTTATAAAAAAATATTAATATATATTGTATAATAATGCATGAAAGATATTTTAAGAAATTAATGAACTAAAATAAATTAAATTACTTAAGATCAAAGTTAATTATGCATTGATTTCTAAAAATTTATCGATATGAATGTATTCGATTAATTGGTCCAACAACAGTTAGATGTTATTTATTAAATATGTACCCAAACCAATTCAGATAACATTTTTAAAATTTTAAATATTACCTTTAGGTTCTGATCAGCTCGAAGACCCAAACCACGCCCTTCAGTTTTAAACACTAGCGTCTTTGCATATTCACATTTTTGAAATTTCTGTAAACAAAACAGTCAAAGTCAAATTTGAAAGGGATTCTCCAAATCACCTAGTAGTCCGTACGAATTATTAGCACCTTGGAAGAAAAAAAAAAATTTAATGAAAAATAATAGTTATAAACTATAAGTTTACTCTAATAATGTTGCTCACCTGATTCATGCAATGCTCGTTGCAGTATTCTGGTGTGCACTCGGTGTTGGTTAGGGCATTCAAGCACCTTTCACCACATGCACTCTCAAAAGTGCATTCACAGACAGCCATTTCATCTTTTTTCAGCCTTTTGCTTCTGAGATAGGCAAATTAAAGGAAGTAAATTATCAAGTATGCTCTAAGAAATAAAAGTACGTATAAGAGGTTACTAAAAACTTACCTTCGTCGTTCCACGAACTCGTTTCGTCTGATACACAAAAATTGGGCCTTCAAAAAAAACATTCAAAATCATTTCATCAGCAAGATAACAAAAAAAACCATAAGAATAATATTGAAAAAAACCACAGTTTAGAAATCCCTAAGGCGCCAATGTCAATGTCATAAGTAAGAATCGGTAAAATGCTCTAGTGTCCTCTCTGGAACACCAACATATGATGTTCCATAATCTAAAGGGCAATTTTATATCCAAAAGTACCCTAACATTTCAGCCATCGACTACTACCAACTACTTTAGTGGACAAGAATATATAGATAATAGAACTTTCAATGAGATCATCAAGACATGAACAGTTAAACAACTGAAAGCATGACAACAATTGCAAATAAACTGAACTTTCAATGAGATCATCAAGACATGAACAGTTAAACAACTGAAAGCATGACAACAATTGCAAATAAACTGACAAGTAGAAAGAAAATCAAATAATATGCATTGGCTTTAACCAGTTCAGCTTCACTTGCCAAAGAATCAAATCATTGTTTTGCTTTTGTATATATTGAAATATTAATTTCAGCAAATACCCGTTGCACCGCTGACGGATGTGAATTGTAATGAAACTTACACCAGAATACAAGCATTGGGGATGTTTTGAACATCCAGAAGCAAAACAGGTACATAATGCGTACCGTTTTAGGCTGTTGGCCTAGGCCTTCTTTTGAGAATGCGTTTGCCTTCGTTTCTTTTGCACATATCTTAAATCGTTCCATTTCACGCTCAATTTGCTTTTCAGCGTGCATCAGAGCCTGCTCATAAGAGGCACTAACATAGTCAACAGGTATCAAAAGAAAATTGATTGTCAACATCGGAGAAATAAGCATAGACAAGATGAAGATAATACCAGCTACTGCAAGAAGAACCAAATAATATATTATACAACTAAATCCACCATAGAACAATGAAAAACAATTCGCCGAAAAAAGAACTGCAAAAGAGAATGCCAACAAGAGAACAGGAGTAGGAGCAACAATCAATAAAGTGCATAAATGCACAAGAAACAAGAAAACGAAAAGCCTGGCCAACTTGAATAAAGACAGTTCAAACTCTTCAAATTGTATTCATAAATTGTTATACATGTCAAAAACATTGATATGGTAACTAGGCTGCCAGTTAGGATTGCTAAAAAATATATACTAAAAATAAATAAGCCACAAAATCTAGCAGAGTAAAGAAAACGATGGGATTATATAACAACGTACTAGTTTAGCAGTAGATATACCTTCTTATCCTTGATCTCGTTGGACTGTATCAATGTTTTGATCTGATCTATGTATCTCTGCTGCTTCTTTATCTCCTTCTCCAAGTCCGCCTCGAATTTTTCCTTCTGGTTTGCATTGTCCGTATCGTAAACCTGTACAAACAGAAAGTGTGAATTCAACCAAAATCCTGATTTTCAAGAAGAGGACGATCCCTTGTTTGAAAATACAAAAACGCGACCTTGTTCCAGATGCTATCAAATACATCGACGCCCTCTTGAACCTTCTTGAGAACTCGGTCGATTTTCCCCTGCAGCTTCTGACTTGCACCCATTTCCAACTTATAAAGAACAGCTTAAGAAATGGTCATTGGTCATCCAAAACACCACTAGAACAGCTTCCGACTTGCACCCATTTGAAATCTGAGATCTGTCAGTAGTTTCAAAAGTCTTTATTATAATCCCAATTTGGTACTCAAGTTCCAAAATCGAAATATTTGAGTCCTTAAACTTCATAATTAAAACCATTGTCCCCATATATTGTCTTCTTAAAAGATTTCTCAGTTATTCAGTAACAAATTCATAGATTTACAATTACCACACAATTCAAACATACAATAGCATCAAACAAATACTCAAATCATAACCTTTTGCTCAATGATACGTAACATAGAATGAGATAATTCAGCAAATTCGAAACATTGAACACATAAACATTCACAGTTCATTTCTAAATTCTCGTACCTCAACCTTGCCCTCCACCACCGCCACCACCGCCGCTGCCTCTGATTCCGCCGCCAAGGGCTCGAAAATCAAAACAAAAGAAGAGGAAGATGAACAATAGTACGGAGTCACTGAGCAATTGGCGGAATTCATCAAATCCTTCTCTCTAGAAACCTTCACAAACTTCTCTCTCATCGGTATTTACTCTTACTGCCATTTCTCTATAAATCATCTGCATAGATATACGTATGCGCTATTGTTTCACTTTGGGGATTTTCTTTTTGTTGTTGCAGATGAAGAGAGAAGCAGCGTTGATGGTGACGATTCCGGAAATTTGAGCGAGGAATTCTTCACATCCTTTATAAATTTTATTCCGAAAATGCCCTTTCACTCATCTTTATTTTTTCAATTTTCATTCTAACATTTTTTACATTATTATAAACAGTTTTTTTCCTTATCTTTTATATTTTATTGGAAATTACGGGAAACAAAATTGTTAAATAATTCAGCAAATTTTAAAAATACTATGGTGCACTATGGTATACTATGGTGTACTGTAAATTTTACACTATTATTAAAAAACAAATCCTACATGATATTAAAAATTACGAAAAAAAAAATTATTTTTCGTTTTTGTTAATTCAAGCTACATATATTTTTTTTTTTTTTTAATTTTTTTGTTGTCAATACTATAGTATACCATGTAGACTATGGTATACTACAGTGTACTATAGTCTACTAGTGTACTATAGTCTACTACGGTGTACTACCAAATCTTAGCAGCCAACAACACCCAATCTCGCCAACCCTAGTCGTAAACACAGCAGCCGTCAAACCCTAAAAGCAACACCGCCGATCACCACAGCCCCCCAACACCGCCGACCACCGCAGCCCCCAACACCACCGGCCACCACAGCCCCCCAACACCGCCGACCACCGCAGCCCCCAACACCGCCGACCACCGCAGCCCCCAACACCGCCGACCACCACAGCCCCC